TTTTCTCTACATATAATCGAGCAATCATGATAGAGCTGAGTGGTGTCCACATGATCAACTCATAAGGTGGAAATGTTATCTGTATGTACACTTGGGCTTGTGTCCTTCTTACAGTTTCAACACCATTCATCATATACGGGTTTAGATTGGAATGTTGTCTACTACACATTGTCCACGTACTACAAATAACACAGTGATAAGATACTACAGTTTGAGTGACTCACCACTCAAAACGAGCTTGACTGATGTCCCACAGCTTTAGAAAACAAAACAAGATTGCAGCTATACATGCGTATCTCGTTCTGCAAATCCCGAGTTAGACTACTTTAAAGCTTTATGTTTGAACATCGTTGTTGAAGGTAGTTGATTAAAGATTTTATAAATGTTTATGTTTATTGGTATGTTTGCCTGTAGATAACGTACCTTCCTCAAAGAAATGAGTATATCGATATAACTGATTTTTTAATAATGAGCAAATGTGTTTACTAACATTTATTTCTTATTATATAAATCTTTGCTTCTTATAAAAAAAAGACTATTGACCTATAACGAACCTGATATTTATCCTGGCAATGCAATGAGCCGATTGAAATTGAAATTTGAAGTGGGCTTAGTAATTAGCATATGACATTGGGAATCCAAGATCTCGGGTTCGAGACATGGTTCTATCAAACACGCTTCGTCTTTTCAGTTTTGGTACGTTATAAGGTGGTTAGGGGTGGCTACTGTCTATTGTTTTCCTTTCCTCTCGTCCACAGTTCAAAATTAGAGATGATTATACTTGAATAAACCACAGAGATCTCTGGCCTACCAACTTAACCTATCGAGTGTATAAGATTTCGTTTAGATGAGAAAAAAAATCCAACAACAACAAATAAGCTACTTAAAAAATAAGTTACAGTACACACCATTATTTTACCAACACCGTAATCTCAATTACATATTTTGTGCAAACTTTCTTCTATTTGCGTTTACAGACAAAGTAAACGGTATCTACGTGAAGTAAAAGATTGCTTTGATATATATATATTACTGCGGCTGCAAGCACAAGATTTTGTGTTAAATTCATCAGTGTATTTCACCATGATTCACTGCATACGACACTGCGTATTAGTTCACTCATTTATATTTTATTGTTAACGACAACACTTTACAGTTGGTTACATCTGAATGGCAAAATATGTTGCTATTCTATTCTAAGATTGCCCTATGGGTGAATACTGATCAACAGGAGTGTGAAATTCACATTGCAACAGAAGTATGCCTAGATGTTCATGAAACTTCTGTCCCTTCTAATGTTGCTTGCAGGCTTATACATGTGTAAATTATTCTCGCGTAGTAGGTGTGTTGGCGTGAGTGGAAGAATGAGGGACTAATTTCGATTTGTGTTTGTAGATCTTCACGAAAATGAATAAACATACATATTTTAGTCGTACACGTTTGTGTATATATATAATCTTACTTCTGTTCAGTGTTTTAATTTAGGTACACTAATTTAATCTTTCGCTTTCATAACAATATACTTAACGTGTTTTGTTGAAGTTTTAACATATGTTTTATATGGAACTCTTCTAATTCTTGAACATATATATACGTGGATGTTTTTGTGTTGTATATACAGGAATATTTTACAGCCTAATTACATCCACAACGTATATTTTACGAAACTGTTTAAGCACGTATATCCTAGTTTATACCGGTGGATGGTAAATACATTAATGCGAGTTGTAAGTTTTTTTTGTTTTTCGTATTATACATTATATTAGATTTATTATAAATAATGACCAGTTTGTTTCTAGGAAATATATTACAAGTGATGAAGTTTTGCATTACACGTGCGAAAGGATTTTATAGCTGAATTTGTTTCTTGAAGTTAGTTAATGAGTAAATCAAATTCAGCATATTACGCATTTTTGAATGCTTGTACACGAAAAAAAAAACAGGTTGATACGATATTGTTTTGTTAAATAAAACATTTCCAAAAGCACGATTTTATTCGGCATTATATTAATTTCCATACTTCCATTCATGTAGTATTTCGAGATTGGCTCAAAAATAATCCTGCTTTCCTATCTACACCAGCGTCGAGTGAATTGTATCATGTCGGAGAAAGCAATAGCTTACAATATAAACGTAAGAAATCTACGAGCTGTTTATCTTGCTCTAGGTGACATTATTGTTGCGAAAGCTCCACCATCACATAAGAAGCATTCATGAGTTCGATGAAAACAAAATATTTATTTTACCCGAGGTTCGACACCGAGCCTTACTCGAGATCTGTTGACTTGTTTCAAATTGGTTTCATACAACAGCAAAATAGATTCAACTATTTAAGAAAAGGTTCGTTAAGTATCAAACGAATTTATTTACAACAATATTGTGTCAGTTTGTAGATATATTGTAACGAGACCCGAAAGTACAACAAAAGAACGCTTAGAAACTATCCCTCTAAAAGAGAGAGATAGAAATATATAGAAGATTAATAAGCAATCAATATATTACAAAGTACATCCCCCACTGAATGCTCTGTGTTATATACATTAATCTACTAAAGCCTAATTACTGGAGATAGATAAATATAGGATGTGCCTATTCTAAGAGATGAGATGACGTCAGAAACCCAACAGCTTATTCAAACCTCCCTCAGTTAGAAACCTGATTATGTATGCCAGGGAAGTAGTCCCACTTGTGTCTGTCTGGTGAAAGTCCATTTAGACATCGCGCGCAAAAGAATTAGGTACGAAATAAGCGAATAACTCCAGGAACAAATAGAAAGCAGCTATAATGAGAAACTGGGGGGAAATGGACGTACAATAACAGAAAGTGGATGTCAGGGCCAACTGCCTTTAACTTTCGGTTGCTGGATAACCTAGCTCACCTATATATAAATATATATAGAGAGAGGGGAGAGGTAATTTTCCTTTGAGATGTCTTGATATTTTTGTTAATTGAGGTTGGTTTCCTATTGTTTCCTCAACCAGGCATGCTGATGAATAAATCTGACAAATCCATGTCTACGACCTCGTGTATCTGCAAATAATTTGTTGATTTATTAACTTTTTTGTTTCTGTTTGTAATAACGAAAATATTTTTTTCACGTTTGTTCCTCACAAAGTCATCTTTCGTATATTTTTGCACTAAATGTTGAAAATATTATTTGTTTATTAATTTAAATGTTCCAAACTATATTTCAAATGTAAGTTCTGTTAGTTAAAAAAAGTAAAAAAAAAGATGTTAAAAAGCTGTATTTCAATAATAATAACGCCGTGGGGGCGTTATAATGTGACGATCAAACCCACTATTCGTTGGTAAAAGAGTAGCCCAAGAGTTGGTGGGTGGTGATGACTAGCTGTCTTACACTGCTAAATTAGAGACGGCTAGCGCAGAAAGCTCTCGCGTAGCTTTGCTTGAAATTCAAAAACAAACAAATTCAAAAACCCTGTAAAATATAGATGTATATCATTTGCCAAGTATCCAACTCGCACGATAATAATTCAAACAAGAAGCTTGCATTATTCCACTACCATTCAAAATATTATATTCAATTTTATAATTAATTTTGAAATGTGCTGCGTAAAGACTTAAAATTTATTTTGGACACAAAATTTAGGTTAACTGATATATAAATGATAAAATTCATGTGTACATACATGTTAGTTTGTTTTTAAGCTCAAACCAACAGAATAGGCTATCTTCTCGCCGAGAGAATCTAACCATAATAGTTAGCGTGAGTGGTGGGGGGGGGGCAAATATAATTGTCGTCCTATGATTTCGGGAATCTTAGCAAATTTGCTTACAGGAGACTATAAGTGAAATAGTCAGTTTAGCTTTTGTGTTGTTTTCAATGTAAATCGACACTAATTATAGAATATAAGAAGTAAACACTAGCGATGTTATTTGCGCACGGTGTATATAACAGCCAGAAAAACGAGTTTTATTTATTTCTGTTTTTTTTAATATATTTATTGGCATTAATTTCTGCTAGCTTGAATTTTTTTCCTTGAATTTTGATTTTTTTCTAAATAAAAATTTCGTTCAATAATGTTTTAAAATATATTCAGTTAATCTAAAGCAGGTACCTGTACTTGTATGGGTTAAAAAGTAAAGTGAAAATATCTGATGACAAATAAAGTGATCTAAGTTTTAACGCGTTTTATATCAAATGACGTATGAAGTCAGGTTTATTAATCATTGTGGACTTCTAGGAATCGGTAACGTGCATATATGTATTTATATGATATTACATAAAATTATAAATAATTCAACCTAGAATTACTACAGGGGCTGCCTCTAATATTATGTCAGGCAAATGAACCGAACTAGAACATAAGATGTCCAGTTTTACCTTGAAGATGTTATAAACTCTTGAGGACTTATCTTCATGTTGAGGAAAGTCATCACACGTATCTTTGCTTTTGGAATCAGTATGCTCTAATAAATAGGTTATATTGAAGTTTCACTGTGTTATGAAAGACAGAAAAAAAGTGAGTCGTCAGTATAACATTTATAAATTCGGAGAATTTAAAACATATTTAGTTTATCTTTAATATTGAAATAAGAATATACATATAATGCTCTATAAATGAGGAACATTATACATAAAGCATTATATTAATGATACCTACAAAAATACGAACTTTAAATTTCTTCATTACTGTAATCAGGGTTTGTTTGTTTGTTTGAAGTTAAGGCACCAAGCTACACAATGGGCTATCTGTGCTCTGACTGCCACGAATATCGAAACCCAGTTTCTAGGGTTGTAAGTCCGCAGACATTCTGCTGTGCCACTAGGGGACGTAAGCAGAGTTGTGTCTTTTTTTTTTGTTGTTGTTGTTAAGCTCAAAAGAAAGGATAATTTAATGACGAGGATGCCTGTATCGTACAGGTCATGTCACCTTCTGGTCATGATACAAGAAATTCCGAGCACTTCTGCATTGTTACAAGGAGACTTTCGCTGATAATGCAGAAATATGTATAACATTTTACTATTATAGAAACTGTTAATTAACTTTATTAATTGACTTTATCCCTGTATGGTCTTCTATGGATCGTAAAATATAAACAAGTGAACACTGCAACGCTCAAGCTGTCAAGTGTTGTAGCCATAGAAGAAATACTGTAGTGACGTTCAAGCTGTCAAGTCTTGTAGCCATAGAAGAAATACTGTACTACACGTCTTGACAGCTTGAGCATCACTACAGTATTTCTTCTATGGCTACAACACTTGACACCTTGAACGTCACTACAATATTTCTTCTATGGCTACAAGACTTGACACCTTGGGCATCACTACAGTATTTTATCTATGGCTACACGTCTTGACAGCTTGAGCATCACACATAGATAAAATACTGTAGTGATGCCCAAGCTGTCAAGACGTGTAGCCATAGATAAAATACTGTAGTGATGCCCAAGGTGTCAAGACGTGTAGCCATAGATAAAATACTGTAGTGATGCTCAAACTGTCAAGACGTGTAGCTATAGAAGAAATACTGTAGTGATGACTTCCTAACATGATATATCAAAGATGATTTCTGAGACATGTTAATAATCATAGCCAGTGAACATTGTTCTTCAAGCTCTAACAGCACTATCAAATTATTATTAGATCACATGATATCTCGTGCGACCAAGGATCACGACTGTTTAACGATTGTTATCCCATACTTCCAAAATTGGATAGTATCTTCTCTTTCAAATTCTCATATTTCACGGCTTTTTATTACACCCTGGATCTGATCCACTGATATGATGTTTCTCATTATTTATATTCATTGATTTTTATTGCAGAATATGCTGAGTGAGCTATGCCACATATTCTTGAGGTGGAGGGATACTTTTGATAGGCCAATGTTTGCAAAGAGTATAGAATATAGAAGTAGGATTAAGGTATTTAGGAATGTTTTATCTTTTTATATAATATGGGTTATTAGTTGTTGGATCCTGTGGTTATCTTAATAAGATGTTATTTAAATTTGTAGTTTTTGAAGTAATTTGCATCAATTCTGTTTTCGGGTAATCTTTTTAGTATAATATTTTGAAGAATGTAAAAACAGTATTAAATTAACTTATTCTGATCTCTTATGCTTTAGGAACTGGGTCGTTATCTTGTGATGCCTTATACACTCTTCTCAGAAGAATTATGAGTTTAAATCTTTCCAATGTTGTTCATGTTCTTAAGCTCTTTAATTAAGGCGAGTTCGATCGAACTGTCAAGTCCCACGCGACTCTTCATGCAGAACGTACTTGTGAACCTATAATAAGATTTGCTTCACAATTAGAAAAACTTCTTCGTAGAAGCCCGGCATGTCCAGTTGGATAAGGCGCTCGACTCACAATCTGAGGGTCGCGGGTTCGAATCCGCATCCCACCAAACATGCTCGCCCTTTCAGCCGTGGGGGCGTTATAATGTTACGGTCAATCCCACTATTCGTTGGTAAAAGAGTAGCCCAAGAGTTGGCGGTGGGTGGTGATGACTAGCTGCCTTCCCTCTAGTCTTACACTGCTAAATTAGGGACGGCTAGCGCAGATAGCCCTCGTGTAGCTTTGCACGAAATTCCAAAACAAACAGCTAATAAAAAAGGATGCCACTAGTTATACAGTATACAAAATAATAATAATATCATTCAAACAATACAAACTCTAATTCCAGTTTAAAAAAGCACTCACAAGGATTTTCATTTGTCATGACTTGAAATGGCTGTACAAACCCTGGAGTAGGTATTAAGAAAAATTTTTTTACAAATAATAATTGTATAATACAAATTCATTGATTGGTTTCATATCACATCCCTATAAATTATACTTAAGACGTTGAAGATATCAATATATACTATTTTAATAAATTGATAAATTGCTCAAAATAGTTAAACAGTAACTGAAAATTTTAATATAAATATGATGAGGAAAAACCAATGTTACAAAATAAGGTAAGTTAACCTCTTCCCCAGTTTGTTTTATGAAACTCAGTCACCATTTTGAAGTACATCACAGAGTTAAAATTATTCATAAAATGATGGGTGAACCAGGGTGATATTTTTCCTGTTAATGAGATACCACTGATGACAGAAAAAGGGATAGAAAATCAAGATTTTCACAGGAGACTGGACAAGTGAAACCTCTCACAAAATCTGTTTGGCTGCAAGAAACTTTCTTGAAAAAAATATAATAAAATAAAAAATTTTTTGCAACCCCATATTGCGTACAAGCCATAAGGAGATCAAAGGAAATTTTGATTGAAAATGCTAAAGTGATAGGAAGTTTCAGAAAAAATATTGCCCTGGGTTGGGCCTCATGGCTTATATGTCTAATGCCTTATGAGATGCATTCATACACATAAACAATAATAATAAATAATGTTCAGTGTACCACAAGCATAAAAGCCAAATTTTATATGTAGCTGTTTGTTCTTTCTACCGATATTTAGTTACATTACTAAATTTTAGTTTGATAGGTAATTGTAATGAATTTTAAAGTTTCCCATGTTAGAGAAAGTTTCAGTTTGTTTACAAAAAACTTACCTAACAAGTGCATTTGATTTAGCTTGTGGTAGACGTGTGCTGCATTCCGAAAACATTCGCCACGCACCTTTTGGTCAGTTTTTAGACCACCTGCCTTCTTGCTCATCATCTGCCCTATCCACAGTCTGTGAAGAAACTGACGCAAAAGTTGCCAGGTGATACTTGCCAAGGTATCTAATTTACTTGTTGGAAGGGATCGACCCAGAGCTTGTAGAGAGCATCTTAATTGGGAACTAGCACTGGCAAAATCTCCCTTAACAACGTAAAAAAAAAGGAGTTTTGGCATAAAATTATAACCGAAACTTCAGAGTGATACTAAAATTTAACAATAAATTTCATGAAAGAATGGAAAGGTGACTTTTGAATCACAAAACTGTACTTTCTCTCAAAATGCAAAGAGTAACTTGCAAGTAAATAAATAAAAACAAACTGGATAATGTAAACCAGTTTCTTTAATATTCAAAAATATTAAAATATAAAAGCATATTTGAACAAACAATGTATTTTCTCATGTAATTTTTATAAAACATTAAAATCAGTATAATTACTGAACATTCATCATAACCATTTCCAAATCATTACCTTTTTCTTTTTTATGCATGTCACAACTATTTTAGAGTTGCCTTCAAAATATAATTAAATTACATTATTATCAGTGTATACACTTGGCATTAAAATATAGTTAATAAATCAAATTATAATATTATGTAAGGTTTAAGTTTTAATTGTACAAGGAAATATTAAAAATATCCTCAATCACCCCTAGTATGAGAATTGTGACATTTCCTCTCTAGGTCTCTCCTTTCCTCTGATTTTTTTACCATCCCTCCCAGAAGTATGAAATTTAACATAAATATCTCATTATTATATAGTTATTACTCATGCAAATTAAAATTTTATAGCCTTCAGTAATTTATTCACAGAACCATAAATAGAAAATCAGACCCACTTGCCATACCCACCTGTCACATCCTCTCTTTCACAAATTGCCAGCAGTTTTCTCTGACATTTAATACTAAATTTTTGATAACCAATAGAAGGCCAAAGTTTTAAGCTATCACATGATGTATTATATTATGTTATTCACTCTACAGAGAATTGTCTATTTTGCTTCCAAGTACAAACTTTATTCCCTCTGGAAACACAATGACCAGCTCAACTGAATTATTAACAGTTCTTATCACACAGTTGGAAGCCAGAAAAATTATGATAGTTATAGGACTTTTTCTGCTTTTTATGTTGTTATTTCTTTATTAGAAACTTATTGGGTTAAAGGTAAGATAATGAAAAAAAAATAATAAGGTATGCTGGTTGTGCATTACATAATTCAACACAGTAACATGAGCTGTACATCTGCCAAGTGATTTACAACTTATGTGGTGGGATTATTAGTTAGAAATGGTTCAAATGTCAATAAAACAATAAAATTAGGTATACATGTATGTATAATATTACGAGCTTTAAGCTATTTAGGATAAACAATTGGTTTCTTGTTACAATTAGCATGCATTCTAGAAAGAAAAAAGGATAATTTAGATTTATTTCCTAATTTTTTATGGTAATTATGACATCGATCAAATCGACTGACCCAATATAAAGTTAGGATAGAAAAAGTTCAGTTTTTCTGAAAAAATAAAATAAAAGTTTAATAGTTATTTAGGAGGTTTTAGAGATTACATAAATGAAATTGGATAATTTTCAGATGAATCATTTTTAATCTCAATATGGAAATCACTTTACACTTGAAGCAGTCAACCCTTTGAGTGAGTTTGACTCCACATATTCAGAGAAATATTTAATAAAAAATACTCAATTAAAAAACCTGGTTTTTTGTGCACAAAATACTTGTAATGTTTATTGATAGTTGTAAAGATATGCCTACATGATCAAAAGTTACAGTATGACTGATCTCATGGTTACTTTGGTGGTTATGAATTAGGTGCAACCTAGCCCTTATGGAATGAGTTAAGTTTTTTGTCATAAAATTCAAAAAGTATTATTTAAAATTCTTATTAAAATAAGAATCATCAACAGGTATGAATCCTTTACGTTTCTGGAGATATCTTCGATCGTCATTCAAGAAAGAAGAAAATTTACTTTTATTCAACCCTATCTCCATGGACATCTTTTTCTGTGCATGTCATGAGGTTTAGTGAGTTACATTTAAAATTTATTTAAACTACTTTCTTTTCATTGTATATCAATAAATATAGCATGAAAATATAGCTAATAATCCATCTTTTAATAGTATATAATTTTATGTTCTTTCTTTATAAGACAATATAAATAAAATTATAGAATTTCCCCTAGTGTAAGAATTGTGACATTTGCTCTATAGGCATCTTCTCTTCTCTAATATATTTACCACCCCTCCAAGAAGTATCAAATTTAATGTAAATTACTTATTATAATATCATCATCACTCAGGTAAAGCATAATTTTCATAGCCTTCAATCTTATTTGGTTACACAGCAATGAAACAGACAACCAGACCCCTCTTACCACACCCATCTGTCACATCCTCTTTTTCAGAAATTGCCAATAGTTCTTTCTGATGTTCAATACTATATTACTTATACCCAACAGAAAGCCAAAGTTTTCATCCATCAAATGATATGTTATATTATTATGTTTCTGTAAAGAGAATTGTCAATTTTGCTTTCAGTTCAAGCTTGATTCTCATGGGAAACACATCAAAGAGATCAGATGAAGTTTTAATGGCTCTTATCACATAGTTAGAAAACCAGAAAAATTGAAATAATTATGTGACATTGTTTGCTCTTGCACCTTATTTTGTGTTCTTTGATGCATTATTCAATTAAATAAAAAATATTTAGTGCAGTACTACCATTAGTATAAGAAAATACAGTTAAGTGTCATTGACAGTCAACAGTAAAAAAACAAACACAAAAAAACAAGATAAGTATTTTTTCTTGTTTTTCATGTGTATACTTTATTTATTATAATAAAAGTAACCAAAATGTAAAAATAGGAAACTTTTTATGTTAGTTAAGGTTAGATTAAGTGAAATAAATAATAACAATATAATAAAATTTTTTCCACAAGGTACACTCACGAGTAGCTCAGCTCGTGTGTAATGTGAGCTGCATGTTCACTGAGTGATGTACAACTTATAATGGCACGAATAGTAATTAGACAGGGTTCAATGGGCAATAAAACAATAAAATTTAAGTATAAATAGATATATACTGTTATGAGTTTAAAGCTATTTAGGATAAACAAATGTAGTTTCATATTACAATTTGAAGTCATTCTAGAAAAAAAAAAGAGTAACTTAGATTTATTTTGATTTTTTTTTTTGATGGTTACGAGGTCAGTGAAATTGGCAAATTTTGTATAAACTTAGGGTAGAGAATATAACAGATAAATATAGTTTTACAGGAAAAAAATGTTTGAAATTTATTTAGGAGGTTTTAGAGATTAAACAAATAAAGTTTGAGGTTTTTTATACGAAGTATTTTTAATCTTAATGTATAAATCACTTAGTGCTCAGATTAGTACATAAAAATACTATATATGTTCACAAACAAATCTTCAGTGAAAATACTTCATTAAAAAATCAAATTTTTTGTGCACCAAAGACTTGTAATGTTTACTAAAAGTCTGCCAAACTTTGTGAAGATACACAAAGTATATTAAAAGTTACAGTATAAAGACTATTATCAGTACGAAATGTTTACAAGGTTGGTCAAATCAACCAACATATTAGCAAGAGAGTTAACTCTTGACTACCACCTCAGACCTAGTTAAGGCAGTTGAAACTGCATCTTGTGAAAAGTGCAAACCTTAACCTTCACTGTGTTTTTGCAGTTACAATTATCAACATTATAATGGGCAGGGAGACTGAGAAACTCATATGTTAGAGAGCCAAAGGTCCTAAATAAGGCCAGGATGGAGCTTGAAGCTCCTGCACCTTCAACAAAGTAAAAAAAAAACAATGATTTAAAATATTTTTTAAAAGCACATTTCACTTCTTAATGTCTTTGAGTCTAACCTCATCACTTCTTTTTATAATTTTTGTCATTTACCCTTTTCTCAATTTGTCAATTTGCTTTTCTATCACCACTGAAATAATGCAAACATCCACCATATTTTGAAAAAGTCAGCAAATGAATATCATCATATGGAATAATCAAATTTCATTTTATCAATATTTGACTATCTTAACATAATTTCAGAATAAAGAGAATCCTTCATAGAATCCTTTCAAATATAATTAACTACAATTTCTCAAAAATTTACACACAGAATATACTCTGTAAATTTTACCTTTGCCAAGTCAAAATCTGCTTGCTTCCTATGTCTCCAAAACACTGTAGAAGAAACTGATCCAGTTTTCAATAAGGGATCACCATATATAAAAAGTTTGGCAAGAAAGCCTAGCACAACAGTGAAGTTCAAAAGCCAGACCAGAACAGATGAAAATAACGAGTTACTGAAATATCCTGAAAATAGAATAAAGCATTTAAAGAATACCTTGTCAATAACACATAGCAGTCATGTTGTATTGTATGTCTTGACAAATTATGACTTACGTTGTACTCTCTGCTAACTATATATGCAGATCATAAAGTTAATTTTTTTTATGCAAGAAAGAAATTGTCCCCTCTCAAACAGTTATCTTTTCTTTGATTTCTCCAAATCCTTTCCCCTGTCTGTGTTTTAGCTAGATAGCAATAATAAGAACCATGTTTAGCCATTACAGATGCTTCAGAAGGATCATTAATATATCTGCTTTAGGCGCTCAACCCTTGCACCACAGGACAAGTAATGGAAACCCACATCAATTGTTTCAAATATTCATATACTAAATTATTCTCTGTATCAATAAATAAAATACACTATTAAAAAAAATGATTACTTGTTAATGCAAATTAATTTTCAACTTTTAACATACCAACCCATTAAAAATTAAAAAAAAAAGGAAAATTCAAAAATCTGTGACTAAACAAAAATACTACCATGAAATATACTTTGTATAAGTCCTTAGGTCTGTATTTTCATCTATGCAAATTAAAACTGTTTTGTAGAAGCTTATGTCAAAAACTTTGATTGAAAAAAATGTCAGCAAGAGGTAAGAACAGATTAAACTTACAAAAAAACAGTAAATTACAGTTTTAAAAATTATATTTTAACATTCTGAAAGAGAAGACACTTCAAACCACAAGAAACTATTCCAAATTATCAAAGCAAGGCATATTAAACAAGACAATAAGAATGAGGATAGTTTGTCATTCAGTACTATTATAAGCTTTGACAATAGTTTCAAAACATTTTAACAGTGATGATAAAATTGAAGCTCAGAATTTTTTGCTTTGTTAATTCTGGATTTATTTTTCTTGAACTTATTTATATATGAAAAAAGTGCTTGTGATAATAATTTTTTGTTTATAGCTTTGACAGCTGAAGACTAAATGAGCATTACTTTTCACAAAAACTGTACACCCAGATAGCTTAACTATCACTAATAAATTACAGGTTAAAAAATTGAAATCGAACCTTCAAAATCATCCACAGGAGAGGCTGACAAAATAGATCTTCCCGTCCATAAAGATGATTTCCCAGATTCAAACATAACACTCCTTCTAGAAACAAAATAACTGAATGGATTGAAGGCCAAAATTGTCAAGACAAAGACACAAAGAGCCATGCGTGATCTATCCAACATTCCTGTAGTAATAAAACTGTCTGAGTTAGCCAGAATCTTAGGAGATCCCATAAAAGTATCTGAGTTGGAATCAGAGAGAGGAGAAAATATCTGAGGTGATGATGGTTCTGAGGAGCTGTTTTCTCCTTGTGAACTTGGAGGAGGAGATAACTCTGAGATAAAGTTTCTTTCAGGTTTAACAGAATTTGAACTGTGCTCCAGAAGGTCTTCTATTTCTTAAAATATAAAGATCAGAACAGTTTTATATTTATTTAACAATTTTACTAAATAATTTTGTCATATATCAGAATGTTGTGTATTAATTACAAAACATTATATATTTATTTTCTGTATATTGGTGTCTTATGCAGCTTTGCACTTACAAAATTACTTACAAAAAATAAGACAATAGATAACAGAAGACTGTTTTTGGCAAATATTGATGTCTTTTTAATCTAAACTATATCAGGTTTCTGACTAGCCAAAAGTAATTGTTATAAAATAAGTTATTAAATCATCTAAAAATATATGTAAATATATTTAAATGTATTATATCTATAAACTACCTTTGAGTTAAAGCGTATTAAATTCTTAATTGTTGTAAAATAAATTATAAAAGTGTTAAAAGTTAAACATAAACTAACATTATTATACAAAAATATTTTGTTTTCAAATAACACACTTACTCTGTTTTTGGGCAGCCATTTTTAAAGCCATATTTTCTTGTTTAAGTTTAGCATTTGAATTCTGCAGAAATCTAATGTAATCTATAGCCTTCTTCAGTATTCCCGATTTGTTAAGCTATATTAAAAAAAAAGATTACACTTCATAAAAATCACAACTGTTTGACCCATTTACATTTGCACACAGTATAATTAATAACATTCACATAAGCCACAATGATTTAGTACCAATTCATTGTCTAACATCATTGTTCTATTCATTTCAGCTTTTATATACAGTTTTCCAAGATTTAGGTAAAGAAAATGATATATCACTGATATTCTGTGAACACTAACACAACCGTCTGTCTTTACCCACATCGCTAAGGGTTTTCCAATGGGTAGGGGTCAGAGGGCATGATATCCCATTTGTAGACTTACATTCAAAGTTTTATGGAACTACTATTTTTATGAAAATATGTAAATAAGTTTGACATCAAATTACAGATTACAATTAAAATTTTGGTATTGTACATTAGTTAATTTCTTAACTTAAAAGTAAATATTGAAACAAAATTGCTAAATATCAATCTTTTTGTGTCACGTGGAATGTTTGGTCAAATTACATTTTATGATGCCCACAATAAAATGTATATAGTTTCTTATTCAAATTTCCAATATCAACAAGCTAGAATATAAAATAAGAACCTCCTATCTTTTCTTTTGCTGACATATCAATACAATGTATATTGAGCAAATCTACCACAGTAGCTCTGCCCCTCTTCATTTTTGGAAATACTTGTTTACATACATCCTCTTCACTCCATTACATGTTTATAACCAAAAGAAAGCTCAGATTTTCCCAGCCTTTGTACGGTGTCTATACACCAAAAATAGTTTTTTGTTTCCAAGCTCAAAAATTAAAGGTAAGACAAAATGGTAATTGAATATATATATTTTTAGACCCAAATACAGCTTAGTTAATAAGCCTGATAAATGACAATGAAATTCTGTGGTATTGATATAGTAATTTATAATTTTTTGTTATTTCAAAATGCATTTATAAAAACCTAAAAAGATTATTTTGTTTTACATACTCGACATGAAAAATTCAACAAGGCTTAGCAAAGTATGGCAAGTGAGTGCTAACTTCATAACACTAACAATCATAAGTAGTAGTAGAGATAATTGTTTTCTGTATTTCTTTAATTACTGTTCTATGTTTTAAGATAATTAACTGAAATTTAAGAACTTATTTGTAAATAGTAATAATATATACACAGACACTCATATATATACATATATGCACTTGTAATGTATTATAACCGAAATGTGATTGTATTTTACAAAAATAGTG